GTTTAACTTGGGGACATGTAGGACAGGGAATAACTCTATGTACTGATTTAGTCGGATCCTTCCAATTCCTTCTACAGGAGATAGGCTGCCATCAGCTATTCTTACCCCAGCCTTGGTCGGATATCTCTGATAGTCACTTAATAATTCTTTATTTCCAGTCATGTGATCGGAACACCCTGAATCAACTATCCACTTAACACCTGATGTAGATTGGACTGAAAGAGCAGTAAACTGTTTACCTTGGTTAGCAAACAGGCTTGTGAACATGCCTGCTTGATTCTGTTGGGATGGCTGCCCTATAGTCATTGCTTTGAAGAACTTCTCTAAGGCACCAGCTTGCTCTTTGGTAAAAGGAGTAGGGGTTGATTCAGGTTCTGGTTTCTTCTCAGATGCCACAGCTGCCACATGAGCTCGACGTCTTCCAGCCCCATTATTGTTGTTTTTCTTTTCTCCTTTTGGTTTCCAGTTGGCTGGGAATTCGATGATGTACCAGCAATAAGCTCTAACGTGACCATGCTTGTGGCAGTTGTCACAATAGAGCTCGGACTCATCGTCATCCCGCTTTTGACTTGGGTGGTCCTGTGGCTTATTCTTCTGAGGATTACGAACAGCTAACGCTGAACTTTCCCCTTGGCTTGGCTTAGGATTGAGCATCAGCTGACGTCTGCTCTCCTCCCTTAATATCTCAGCAAAGACAGTCTCGATGCCGGGGAAAGGCTTCAATCCCATCATCCGACCCTTGATCTCATCTAGGTCTTGATTTAAACCAAGTAAGAAATACAGGGTTCGTTTCTTCTCAATGTACTGCTTGAATTTCTCTTGATCTCCAGGGGTCTCCCAATCGATTGCCTCGTACATGTCTAGGTGCAGCCAGTGGTGTCCCAGCAAGTTGAAGTAGTCTGTGACATCCATCTCCCCTTGTTTGAGTTGAAACAATTGTGTTTCAATCCGAAACAATGCAGATGTGTTATCAACGGTTGAGTAGGTGTTTCTGGCTGCATCCCAGATTGCTTTCGCAGAGGGATGGAGAAGGTAGTTTTCCCCGATACTTGGCTTCATGGAATGGATCAACCATGTTCGGACCAGGGCATCATTGTCATACCAGTTTTGATACAGGGGGTCTGTAGCTTCGGGGCGCTTGATGGCTCCGGTCAGATATCCTCCCTCTGCTCCTGGCTGCAATATTCATCTCAACGGTTTTTGACCATTTGAGATAGTTCTTCCCGTCGAGCTTGTAACTCGTTAGGATGCTGGAAAAATCGGTGGAGGTTGGTGTTACGGTGCTGAAGTTGTTTGTTGGAGGAGCACTGCCTTCTGTATTCGTTGAGGAGTGACTGGAATCGTCTTTCGTCATGACGAAGATGGCGGGTTTTCCAGAAAAATGAAGAAGGGAAAGAGGGATAGGAGAATACGGTCAGATCGACGGCGGAATTAGGTCAGAGTAGGCTCTGATACCATGAAAGTTTTTGGAGAATCCTGAGGTTGTTTCCTCGGTTCTTTTCTTCTTCTTATTATTAGCCTAACTTGGGCTGTCAATATATACACAGAGGTCTATTAGAGACCTTCCTAAGTTATTGATCTAACATAAGGTAACTCCTCTAAATAATCAATTAAGAATATTTAGCTACTTAATCAGCAATAGCCACGTTATTCTCTTCAGATAGGTTGGAAGGGAGAAGCAAGGTTTTTGGCCTATGCTAGTGGCCATTGTTTGTAGGGAAGGTTCTTAGTCGGAACAATAGAACCTTCGGGTTTAGGGTGAAGATGTAGGACCTCATGATGTGTTTGCCACCACTCAAAAAGCTTTTTCCCCATGTCCAAGACAATTGCCAGTCATTTGATCCCGTGTCTAAAACCTCTGGACAAAATAGTGATGACAATCGTCCCGTGAACTCTAATCTTTAGAGGTTGCCGCCATGGTGAAGAGACGATAGGGCCGAGTGTTGATGATTGTGCACATTCTTTGCACCAAAAACGTCTCGACCCCACTGGTCAAGAGAGTGAGTGATTCATTCTTGCTATGCATGCCATATCATACCCCGGTGAGGACCTTTGTTGCCCATTCGTTCATTCCCTCAACTTGAATGTTATGCATTGTTAGTTGTGGTTTATAAGTGAACTTGTTGAGACTTGCATTGATTCATGAACAAGGTGAGAACTTTTTGTTTGCCCATTTTTGGTGACCTCGAATGTCCTTTGTAGTAGATGTCGGTATTGCTTGCAACAGTCCATGTGTTAATTGCCAATAGCCATTGAGATTCGCCACTTTGTGCACTTTGATTTGTCCCCAAAGCATTTTGTTAGGTTGAGAGATTACCCTGTGTGAAATGGTTTGCTTGGGGACAAGCAAACGTTCAAGTGTGGGGGAGTGATTCGGGCCTAATTGTACACTTTTTATCCTCGATTATCTTTGACGTTTATTGAACTCCAAAAACGTTGGTTTTACGCGAGGTTGCTTGTGTGTTTCATATCCTAACAGGTAAAACCAAACCCAGAGTCGTGAGTTGGAAGAAAAGGAGCAAAGACCGGGCAAAGAGGTGGAGACAACCGCAGTTCACGACCAGACGTTGGAGTTCAAGGTCTTACTGGACGGTGAACTGGAGCCATGACCCGTGAAGCGAGGAGCAAACAGAGGGGATTTTCAGGTTACTGAGGCCCAGGTCGTTCACGGTCGCTAAGACCGTGAACAGGGGCCAATGACCTTGAATTCCAGCAAGAGAAGCATTGCGTTTTGGTCACAGCGTTGAGTTCACAGAAGCGTTTCATTGTTTACGGCCGTGAACTCAGGTCGTGAACTCAGTGCGATCTCCCGCTTAAAAGGAAAGCTAAAGGGAGGAAGAAGGGGAGAGACCTAGAGTGAGAAAACTTTTCCTTCTTCAGATTTTAGAGTGAGAAAGTGACGAACCAAAGAAGAGGAAAAGCTAGGGTTTGATCTCCAAGCAAGGATTTGGGTTTTCTTCAGCACCAGGAGTAGTTCCTCTTTTGTGTTTTCCCTTCTCCTAGCATGGATTAGTCCCTTATTTTCACTTGGGTGTTTGTAAATCCTAGCTACAATTATGTGAATGCTTGTATAAATTTAATGATTTGTGTGTGGTTGTATTTTAATGTGAATGTGGAGGTATTATTCAGAAATGATTGTGTTGTGTGAAAGCCCATGAATCTAATTGTCAATTTAACCTAGATTGGAGAGGATACCTCCTTAGGTTATGAGGTTCATTAGGTGTTCATGGGCATTTCAAGCCTCCTAGGCCAGTTTAGAGAGGAAACGTCCTTAGGTTAAGAGGTTCATTACTGAGATGGGGTTCTTGGGCATTTCATGCCTCCTAGGCTAGTTTAGAGAGGAAACCTCCTTCACCCAAGAGGTTTGGTTTCCTTGGGCATTCAATGCCTCCTAAACCTAAGAGGATCATTTCGAGATGGGTTTACTTGGCATTCAATGCCTCATAAGCTAGGTTAGAGAGAACCCTCCTTAACTTAAGAGTCTCTACTAGAGATGGGTTTCCTTGGGCATTCTATGCCCCCTAGTCTAGGTTAGTTAAAGGGAAAACCTCCTAATTCATATTAAACACTTAGGGTTTGGTTGTGGGTGGCCTTCCGAACTCCAATTCGAGGGTGAAGTCTAACCATTCCTTAGTCGATAGGTTGAGAGGGTCACATAAGTGGCTTGGATCGTAACCCATTCCTCAACCTAGAGTCTAAGAGGGTCAATTTGGTTGCTTGTTAGACTTCCCAGTGGTTTATGACCCCCTAACCACTCTCGGTAGTTTGATTCTTCAAGTCATAATTGTTAGCTAGGGGGAGCAACACCCGGGTGAAGGTTTCTCAACTAGAATCAAATCCATTTTACCTTTGCAAAGTAATTTAGTTTTCAACATTTGTTTTTACCAAAACTCATCCGCTAGATAATGTTTCAAACAGTCGAAGTAGCGGTACATGGACCGGCCCGGGTCGATATTTAAACATACTTGCCCTATATTGCACCCATCTAAGGTTTATACTTGAACCTTAGGTGAGATTTTATTGTGATAGTTAGAGCGAGTCAGGTACAAGAGATTTGACAGTTACATGCTTGAGTTGGCCTACAATAGAAGTCCATATGATTGGTGTGTGTATCACGGCAAGGTGGATGATGGTTTGATGATCTATCTTGTTAAGTATGTGGATGATATGCTCATAGCTGTGAGGTCGAAGTCTGATATCCAGAAGTTAAATGGGCTTCTCAGTGCTGAGTTTGAGATGAAGGATTTGGGAGCTGCTCAGAAGATCTTGGGTAGGAGATTTACAGGGATAGGTCGAAGAAGAAGCTTTTCTTGTCACAGAAGAGATACATCTTGAAGATACTATAGAGGTTTGACATGTCTTTAACAACTCCCTTTGAATACTCCTAGTGCTTCAAATGTTCATCTATCCTCAACTTATGCACCGCAGTTAGAGGCTCAGAAGGAGTACATGTCAAGAGTCCCATATGCTAGTGCAGTAGGTAGCTTGATGTACGCTATGATATGCACTAGACCTGATCTTGCACATGTTGTTAGTGTTGTCAGCAGGTTCATGATACAACCTGGGAAGGAGCATTGGCATGCTGTGAAGAGGATCTTTCGGTACCTTAAGGGTACACCTGATGTGGGGATTAGCTTCGAAAGTGATACAGAGTGCTTGGTGTCTGGGTATTAAGACTCGGACTATGCTGGATATGTTGACACGAGGAGATCGGTAACCGTTATGTATTCACTCTTGGGAGTTCTATAGTGAGCTGGAAGGAAACTCTGCAGTCGACAGTGACACTGTATAATACTCATGCAGAGTAAATTGCGTTGACAGAAGCTGCTAAGGAGGAAAATGGTTGAAGGGACTAGTTGGTGATCTCAGTCTACATCATGATCAGGCAGTGGTGCATTGCGACAGTTTGAGTGCAATATGCTTGGCCAAGTGTTGACACCCATTTTCGTCCGGGTTAATTTCGAACTAAATAATTTGGTTTGAACCGCATAGATTTAAACCCAAGAAATTCATCAGCCCATTAAAATCCAACTCTGTTACATATTCGGACTTCCAGCCCAATCTGTAAAAAAACAGTCAACATACCATATCAAACCCACATATTTGACCCAACAGTCCACATACCATATCAAACTGGTTCGGTTCAACACACCAGACCCGCTCTTCCTCTGCTCCTCCATCCCTCATTTGTTGGCTGCAAAAGAACAGAGATAAGAAATCAACTCCATGCTTGTGTGAACTGTCCAAAGTAGAGAATTCAATAAGTGAGGAAGAAAAACTGAATTTGGGCACAAAAAACTGATTATAGAGATGGGAGTAGGCTGAAGTAGTTGAAAGAGGGGTGTTTAGTGTTCTTCGATTGTCCTATAATAAGAGGCATCAAGATGAGAAAAGGGAGGAGGAAAAGGGGCAGTTTGCTCAATCTATGATCGCAATTCTTTCCAGAAAACCAGCAATTTGCCATTTCTTTTCAAACAACGCACAAACACAAACAGGAACCAAGAAAACACTTCGTGGCTAGTAAGCAGTCATCTTTCCACAAAGACAAATCCAAACATCCTTCCACCAAATCATCCTTCCATCGCGTCATTCCCAGAAAAACAAACTCATTCATGCCACCCCAAAAAACCTTCTTCTGCAATCAGTAGGGAACCGTTAAAAAAATAGAAAAAATACTGACCTTCGTCGGGCGCAGCCGACCAGCCTCGTCCCGTTGTCGACCCAGACCACCACCACCGAACCACGCCCCAGCTACTCCGTCCCTCACTGCTCTATGTCGAGTTTCGCCACCAACGGACGAGCGTTGTCGCAGCCAACATCCGCGCCTCCATCGTCATCCCCTACCGGCCGTTTGCTCCCTCCGCGCTCCACTACTCCACGCTGCCGCTGCATCCGTACGTCTCGCAGGTCCGCCGCAACCGCAACCGAACAGCTCCTCACCGCTGTCTTTGTCGTCATTTACCCCGCTGGTCGTGGTCTACTGTGTTGGGCGCTGTTGAGAGGATTGAGAAAGGGATTTCGGTTTCGATGGAGAAGAAAGCAAAAAAGGGAAGACTACCTCTGCGTCGGATTTGACGAGGTAAGTTACTTTCTTATCTCTTAATCTCTCAATTGACAAATTTACACTAAATACCGTCAGAAAATAACAGTTTTGATCCTCCTATTTCTTAAGTAACCCGAAACCACCATCACCGTTCGAAAACGCGCAGAACAAATCACTTTAATTGACAACGGGGCAAGGATTCAACCCTTGTTCTTGAGCGCACCAAATTGTGAAATTAACCACTTAGTGTTTGATTAATTATTTTGAAAAGTCACAGCCATCGAGTAGGGGTGGGCATTGGTGCGACCCGCACCACACCGTGTTGATAAAAACCGCATCGCACCGCAAAGTAATTGGACCGCACCGCAAACAAGACCGCAAGTTTATTGGTACGGTCCAACCGATCCGCATTAGTTAGAGACTTGGTGCGGTTTGGACTGCAACCGCAAATAAAACCGCAAAAGTTAAAAAAAAACTACTTTGGTTGTATTCACATTTATGGGATACATGTAAACTATTATATATGGCTGTAAGAGAAGTACCAAAAGTACTTTTTAACTACATAAGCTAATGCAAGAACATCAAACAGTAGAAAACAAAACTACTTTGGTTTATGCACTCCATAAAGTAATTGGACCTTCAGTTCTCTCACTTAACTAAGTTCCAAAAAACAAAAATAGACTTCAGCTTCTTCTTCTCCTCAACTCAGGCCGCAAAAATAACTCCCTGCACCTGCAGAATCGAAAATTAAACCAATCCAAGTTTAGGACACAGCAACACAGTGAGCATGTTGAATAAGTCATAAAGCTCAAATACCCATAACCCTCGATGCATCACCAAAAGCAACCTTGTTTTACGGCTCAAACTTACAAACCCAGTAGAGGAAAATGATGAGAATCACAAAGCAAAATGCAGTACCATAGAAGCAAAACAAATAATATCTACCAAAAACACATTTGAGTTTTGAAATTATACTGACCAAGACTGAACATAGCCATGCCAGCCTTGCATTTGACAGAATCGAAATGGATTTGCTATTAGAGCAGGCATTGTTACATACCACCTGCAACCCCAAAACCAAAACCCCACCACCTCCATTAGTAACCTAATCAATCTATCATCGACCACACCATTATCATGTATCTTTTACCATAGTCTATCTCATTAGTTTGGGCTAGCTAGTTCTAATTAGTCATTACTTAATAGAGCTATATTGATCACATTTGTGAGGTAATTAACAGAGCAGGTAAGCAGTGGAGGATGCGATGTAGCAGGGTTCTTTTATGTAGCTAGGGTTCTTTTCAGGATCAGTTTAGCATGGAGGGATCAAATGCTACAGTCTGTCTGTGGATCAGATCAACAACCAAAGGAGAAAGTAAGAGCAGCAAACAACTAGCAGAACAACGCACAGCTCGGTACAACAAACAACTAGTAGAACACAACACCAAAATCAGCATTGAAGGGGGGAAACATAATGTACAAATTGAACAGAGGTTGCTTTACGACTCAAACTCACAAACCCAGTAGAGGAAAATGATGAGAATCACAAAGCAAAATGCAGCAGCCATGGCAGTTGTTATCCCACATACTCGATTGGCTTAAGTACATTATGGTCCAGTGTACAAATATATCTTAAGCTGGATTGGCAGTCTATCCAAACTAAGAGACACAACAGCCAACATCATTTATCATTGACAATCTATCCAAATCTAAGGGACACAACAGCCTATTACATAAATTTCATGGAATAATGAAGAGGATGATTAGATAAATTACCTTATGTGTTTGCCCTTGCCTGTACATTAGGACTCGTACGAGGAAGTGGAATATCATAGATCTCAATATTCTTCAACACCATGCTCAGCTCTGAAATTCATAAAATGGCATCATCAACTTGATCATTAAACAAAAATTCAGATTCACAGTTTCTTTTTTATTGTAAGAAAGTTACCTTCATCGATATTGTCGATCTCCTCTGAATCTTGTTCAACTACACATGGACTAGAGTCTGCTCGGAGCTTCAACTTCCTCCTTCAAATACCTATCTAACTAAATTTTGTTTAATACGCCTCTTTCTTTTTGTAATTGCTTCATATACTCCGTAATTAGATCCACGTTCCCACTGTCATCATCTTGGTCTGTTTGAGAGGAGGATGTCGCTTCACCAACTTGATTCTCATAATGAGCATACAACTCATAAGTAGCCTTCTCAACATCACTTGCCAAATCACTAGAAGCTTTATCATCATCATACATCCACTTGAGAGTGAAACCAATAAAGCACCACTTTCGTCTTGGATCTAACACAACAGCTATGTACAATAACTTGTTCGTATTGTCAACATCTCCCCAATACTTCTCATATTTCAGTTTCATCTTCGATGCCATTAAGCTTAACTAGTAATCCTGATTGCCTAAAAGGTAACTCATCCACAATAATCATATAAGTCAATCCTTTCCTTATAGCGGTTTGGTCAAACTTCCAGTTCCCTAACACAACTTCGTTACTTTCTTCTAAGCCTACTCTAATTGTATTCAACAGTTGTTGAGCAGTACCTTTTCTATCATGGCTTTTCCATATGTCTGAGAAGCGCACTTGTTCCATTTCTACGTGATTTAGATTCATAAGTCTTCCCACATTTGATACATGATGCCTTGAAATTGTCATCCTTCACATGTCTCTTGAATTGAACCCAGACTTTTGATGTAAGCTTCCTGCCTTTTGCCTTTGTTGACTTAATTTGAGTTTCAGTTGAACCAATATCAGCAGCAGCCACACTACTTATACTTGCATCCATTTCAATTTCCATCTCTTCCCCACTTAAGGACTCCATCGCAACATCATCATATTCAACCTAAAGAACAACAATTAGACCAATATTAGAGTCTTGATCAAGATTAACTATCACCATAATCAAATACATCAAATCAGAATTACAAAGAAAAGGAATGCAACTTGGCAGAACCCAGAACTACAAAGAAAAGGAAAATGAAGAGAACAAGGCAGCCAACATGTATACATTTACAAACAGCTAAAGCCTCAACAATGAAGCCAGCGGTTAGAATTTTTACTTTCCCTGGAGAATGGTTCATTATTTGCAGGACAGTGAACTTGTCATTAAACCAGCAATATGCTTCAACTTTTGAATATTAGAACAAAGTAAATATGTTGTTCATGGTGCATTATTTGCTCTTTTGTGGGTTTTTTTATACAAAAATTGAATATTGATCGAGTTCAGTTGGGATCCAAAGTCAAACACATCCAAAAAGGATGCTGCTTTACCAAATCTTGTTCATAGTTTGAACATTGAAGGAGCTCTCTACAGAACAAATATATGAAACTGAAATATTAACTTGATGGTTGGATACATCAGCAAGCTAGAGTCAGACACACATATGAAATTGAAATGTTAACTTTTCAAAAGGAGAATAAAACTTGAAGACTCATGTTATTATTTGCTGCCATAAGTCAGTCAGTCAAGTCACTCTGGAAATATGAATGATACACATAATCTTAGCGAGAACCCGATCCTGGTAACTCTTGGTCATGCAATTCTGCAGCAGCTTCAGACGTAGTAACACTGTGGCAGTGGTGGTCAGTTTGTGCGTAGTAAACTTTAGATGGTCAAAGGCTCAAACCCCCTCAAACAATCTTGCTTTCTTCACCATTCATCACAAACATCGATTTCATCATCACAAACAGACTCACCACAAAACCAGTCACACTAAGAGCGTAACCATAGTCAAGAAACTCACCTCACTAGATACTGCTGCTCGAGCTCGTTTTCCCTGCGAGCCTTTTGATTTCATTTTGCAAATTGTATCTTCTTTTTTCACAGATTCATTACAACCCTATAAAGCAGATGAAAGAAAATAGTTGGAAACAGAGTGACCACCATCTCAACCAGCCACAACAACATGAATATATTAAGAACAAAGATAAAATAAGCAAAGTGACCATCGAAGCTCATCTCCGAGGTCTCAAATCCCCTGTGCAGTTGAATCAATTTGGACCCTTGATCCATTCTCAACTAATCAATCCACCAAGCATACCTAATATATAGATTCCATGACTAGTAGAAAATCCACGAAGATGCAAAGAGCTCGAAGGGGCAAACTACCCCCGAATCCATAAATCCCATTTATATTGAAGGTGCCGTTTTCTATTAGCAAATGCGAGAAAGCTTTCTAAGTTCCTTTTCGGCCGCCACCTTGGCGGAGCTGCGACAAGGTCGGGGTGAGGAAAGGTTGACATGAAGAGGGATGGAGTACCAGAACGACGGTGCGAGCCGGGATGCGGAGGCCGGAGGAGGTGAGAATCTGCTCATCTGCCGAGGGAAGCCAGGGGAAGGGTCATCATCGTTACTGGGAAGTTCTCGCCTCTTAGTGGTGCATGACGTCGAGAGTGACGAGAAGCTCAAGATTTTGGTCGTTTGCCGGCGAGGCTTGCTCTTGACCTCTTGTGGTGAGGTGGTCGGTGGCGCCGACGCTGGGAAGGATAAATCGGGTATGTGTGTAGTGAGAACAGGAGGGCGACCTTCAGATTAGGGATTTAGGCATTTAGCGGTTAGAGATTTTGAACCGCAACCGCGCGGTTTCGGTCTATCCGTATCGCAAACCCCAAACCGCTTAATTATTAGATCGCAAATGAGACCGCAACCTTAGTGGTGCGGTTTGGACCGACCACACAAGTGATTTCGAGCGGGCGGTACAGTTTGGACCGCACCAATGCCCACCCCTACTATCGATTATATTTAACCACTTCAACTAATTTTGGTACGAGCTTAATCTACTTCCATACAAACAAATCAACATTAATCGAACTACGTGGACCTTGATCTCGAGATGTCAGGTACTGACTCGCTTCTACCGTCACTCTAGAAAATGGCCAAGTGTAACCACCTACTAGAGCATA